TTCACGCCCTTCCACGCCCGCCAGGTGGCCGTGGCGCTGTGGCCCGACGTGCCCGACCACGCCAGCCTCGTGGTGTACCACGTGGCCGTGACCCTCAGCAGCCTCAACAGCTGCATGGACCCCATCGTCTACTGCTTCATCACCAGCGGCTTCCAGGCCGCCGTCCGCGGCCTCTTCCGCCGGCACCGAACCGAGTATGAGCCCGGCGTGGGCGACATGGTCAGCATGCGCAAGAGCGCCCGGGGCTCCGGCCGCCACCGCGGCGGCGGCCCCAGCCCCCACGCCATCACGCAGGCCCTGGCGAATGGGCCCGAGGCGTAGGCAGCAGGACCTGGCCGGGGGGCCGCAGGTCAGGGCCGGGCTCGGCATGCCGGGGCCGGGCCAGCCCTGCCCGGGTGGCAAACCGGATTCATCTTGATGAACTGGCGACACCGCCCGGCGCGTGGAGGGTCTAAGACCACTGTGCCGCGGTGACCAGCGATGCCGACCACGGCGCCAGGTCCGGTGTGCTGGGCTCAACGCTGTCCCTACAGTGTGCGTTGTGTCCACCGAAACTCGGAGGGGTCTCCAGGAGCTCCTTGCCTGCACCATCCCATCCCCAGGAGGGGGGCCTCAGAAAAAGGGATGCTTTTTTAGGTACAAGGAGGGTTAAAAAGTCAACCCAAAGAGGTCGGCCCCCCTCCCCCTTTCCCTCTCTCCATCCCTTCCCCACAGAGGGAACACGGACAGGAAGGAAGCGTGGGGCACGGTGTCGCGTGGGTGGCGTGTCTGCGTAGGAGCCCCCTCGAGGCGTCTGTGAACTCGGGTGCTTAGCGCAGAGCCTGTCCGCGGAAGTCTGGGTTGACGCCCAAAGCCGTAAGGACCACGCAGAGGCTATTTCCCGCCCAGCGGCGGTGTGGGCGGCCTGCCCCGCCAGGTGATGATGGCCAGGTGGGAACTGAACCCCAGCCCCACCTCCTCCAATAGCCTCGTGCCTGCCTGCTCCACGGAGACACGCAAACCTTCCCAAGGCCCCCAGTGCGGGAACAGCCTCAGGAGACACTGCCTGCGGCCCCAGGAGGGCATCGGGACTCATGGCCCCATCCCATGGACGAGAAGGCCAAGAGCGAAGACCCGACCACTCGGGCCGTTTGTTCTCCCCTCTGGGCAGAGGGGTCGGACCAGCGGCCCCCACCTAGCTCATCTCCTCCTCTGGGGAGGCAGCATTTCTCTGGCTCGAGCTTCTGATCACCTCCTCCGACCTGGACTCCGGGATTGCCTCCAGTGCCTTCTGGTCCCCACGTCTGCGATCCCACTGTGAGAGTCCTGGGGGTAAAGGGTGCCCGAGCCCAGGGTGCCCCTTACCATTCAAGCTCGAGAGGGTGGCCGCCTGTGTTCTGGGGCCAGGGCAGGAAGTGGGGGCCAACCTCACACCTCTGAGAACCCCACGCAGAGCCCTCGCCGGATGGGCCTCAGTCTCTCCCATCTCTACTCCTCTCCTTGGCCTTGCAACCGGAGGGGTAGGGGAGCTGGGGGCTGGGCCCCCACACTCTCAGAGTCCCAGAGGCCAGACCACGACTGTCTCCGGTCCCACAGGAGCCCGGTGTGCGGTCTCTGCATCCCCCTCCCCACGGCCATCCCAGATTTGCCGAACACCCGGGTGACGTGAGATGGCATGTGTATTTATATCTGATGTAAACAGTCTCCTTAAAGTGAAGTCCTCGTCCCAAATTAAACCTGTTTATTCCCTTCATGCCCTCAACTCAGCCGGCGGGCGGGGGTCTCTGGGGGGCACCGAGCCCCGTGGGGGCCTCCGCGTGCTCCCCTCCACTCATCGTCCTGCGGCCAGGCAGGGGCTCCCGTGAAAGGCTGGATGGTGGGTTCACGGTCTCACCATCACTGATGGGGGGCAGGTTTAGGGGCCTCCAGCCGGCAGCTCTGGAGGGCGGGGGGTGGGGAGGGTGCACGGCAGACCTGTGGGCGGGCTGTGCTGCAGGAGTCGGGGTAGGGACACCACCTGGTCTGAAGTCTGCCTGCGGGGGTGGGGGGGGTGTGGACGTGGGCGGGGCAGCCCGACCCCCACAGCGTCCTTCCACACCCCCAAGGCTGCGCTCCAGACAAAAACGTTGGGGGAACCGTGAAGCCACCTGTGGTCTTGCACAGTGCCACTAATTTGCCCCTTTCTCTGAACCCCTCTATGAGCCTTGGAGGTCAGGATTGTCACCCCATTTCGCAGATGGGGAAACTGAGGCTCGAGGCGTCCGAGAGACTCCAGCCATCAGTTCCTGCCTTGCGCACAGCTGGGTCTCTGTCCTCGGTCCAGGGGAGCTCGGGGTGGGAGGACGTTGGCTGGACGGGCTCATCGGTCTTGCTGTCTGGCACCCTCTGAGGCCGGAGGCGTCTGGAGGTAAATATTAGGGCCTGTTTAGATTAAGCTCCATTAATAGCAGGAAATGTCACAGTGGCGCCTGCCCCAGCTTCCTGGAGGCCTCCGAGGCCTGAGGAGGAGTGGGGGCGCCCTGCGCTGATGGCTGTCCCCCCCCGACATTCCGGTTGGGACCCCACGCTGCAGACCCCGGCCTTTTCACACTCTCCCTGCCCCTCCCTCCCTCAGGAGGCTCTCTGTGCCCTCCCCAGACCAGGCCTGGGAGCCCAAGAGGCGGGTGTGAGGGGGACTCTCGGGTGTGTGAAGACCCCCCAGGTCAGTCACCACCATGTCCTCACACCCTCTGGGGGCTGGCCCCCACGCCCGAGGGGTCTAGGTTCTCAGCTCACAGAGGAGAAACTGAGGCTCAGAGACGTGGCGGGGCCGAGCCGAGTTTACCCCGTGCTAGGATCCCCGCCAAGACCTGCCTGACCCCAGGGCCAGGGGAGGGCACCCCAGGTGCAGGAGGAAGAAGGAGGGGGACCCGATCGTGGCGTCTTGGGACTCGAGAGGGTGTCCCTCTGCCCCACCTACCCCATGGCCTGCTGGGGGCTGAGGGTCAAGCTCTAGTGCCTAGGAGTGAGGTCCGGGGGTCTGAGCAAAGCTAAGGCGGGCTCTGGGGTCAGCTCCTGGGACCCTAACTCCAGAGGCTCACGGAGGGGGAGCCATGGCCCAGCTCAGGGCAGGTGCTCAGGGAACTGGGCCCAGGTGGCCAGGTGGGGGACAGCGTGTCTTACCGATGCCAGGCCCCCTCGGCCACACCGGTCCCATCAACCCCAAGGGAGTCCTGTGCCGTCCTAAGCTTTGGTGTGTGCACGCGTTGTGTGTGTGTGCGCGTGTGTGCGTGCATGTGTGTGTGTGCATTGCATGTGTGCATGTGCGTGTGTGCATGTATGCGCATGTGTGCGTGCATGTGTGTGTGTGCATTGCATGTGTGCGTGTGTGTGCGGGGGGGTGTGTGCGGGGGGCGGTGCACTCACGTGCTCAGCCTCAGTAAGCAGTAGCAGGAGACGCCACAGGGGCGGCCTCCCCCGGGAGGGCCTCAGCTCGCTCGCCCACGTTCACTCATTCACCCTTCCCCTGCCCTGTGCCAGGGTACTCGGAGGACCCCTCCCAACGGGACATCCGCATCTGCTCGCGTGGTCACAGTGACAGACCCCCCCCCATTCTTGCCCATTCCTCTGGGTTAAGCCCGTCTCTGAGCTTCCCCTGGGGCCGCACACACCTAGCAAGGGGCAGGGCTGAGGGGCACAGTTCTGGCTCATCCAGGCATAGGGTTCCTCGGTTCTCAGAGCCGCCAGTGATCTCGGGGAGCGCCCCCAGGCTGCCCCGGCCCCTCCAGCTGATTCACAGGCAATGCCAGCTAGACCAAGGTGTGTAGGGGCCTGAGGCCACCAGGTGGCGCTGCTGGCCCGGGAGAGGCGGCCAAGCGGTCGCTGAATGGCCGGCAAGGACCCTCCAGAACGCCTCCCTCCGTCCCCAGACCCTTGGAAGGGTGGCCCTAGGGCCAGCAATCCCAGAAAGCTGCTTGGAGGAGCTGATGAGATGCAGCCTCCTGGCCTGCCTGGGGAGGCAGGGGCCCCTCCGACTCGTCCAGCTTCGAGGCAGCCCCACACTCCAGGTCTCCATCTCCCAACCTGCCGGAGGGGACCTGGATGAGGTGGCCACAGCGGGGGCTGGGGAAGGGCGGGTGGAGAGCCAGCCCCTCCTCCCAGGCCATGGAACAGCCCTGACGTCACCACATGCACCATCTCATGAGCCCAGAGAGGGTCAGACACCTGCCCTGAGTCACACAGCCTGGTCGTCAAGACACCCAAGGGCTGCGGTGTCCCGACAGGCAGCACCATAGGCCTCCAGCCACAGTGCTGGCACCTGCCCCAAGCCAGGCGGTGAGGATGCAGGGGACAGACAGATGGACGCCAGGGAGAGCCTGGCTGGGTACGAGTTACTTGGTGTTCCCTGGACTTTCCTAGCAGGCAGAGGGGACAGGCCCTGCCTGTAGGGACGGAGAGAAGCAGCAGGCCTTGGCGTGACTCTGCCCGTGTGTCCGCCAGGCCACCCTCCATCTGTGAGGTGGCCCTCGCCCTGGTCCAGCAGAGGACGGCGTCCTGGGTGGGGTGGGCACAAGGCCAGCTCCAGCCAGCTCAGCCCGGGGCCTGGGCTCCTGGGTGACCAGGTGGGACTGGTCTCTCCCCCAGACGTACCCCATGGCGCAGCCCAGGAAGCTCCCGTCTTGCCCCAGGGAGTGGGCAGTGTGGCCACTGGGGCCTGAGACACTCTCGGCGAGAGTCAGGACCCACGAAGCACGTCCCAGCCCCGCTCCCCGCTCTGGGATGTGCTTCCCCTCCCAGCTTGTCCTCCCCTCCCCGCCCCCACCCCCGCCGTGGGTCCATCCCTGTCCCTGTGCCGGGAGCTGCTGTCCTTTCCTGCTGCCAGGCCTCTGCTGGGCTGAGGGTGGCTGCAGCGACAGCGACGGCACCGGAGTCCTGAAACCTTAGTTCTTTAGCCAGAATCTCGAAACTCTCTCTTGCATCCTTCTTCTCTGTGATGGTTCTAGAACCTTCCACCCACTCCCTTTGTTCCTGCTCCGTGGCCTCTGCCCCCCACTCCTCAAAGCCTTTCGCAGGGGTAGCCTCAGGCCTCTGCTTGCCAAAGACTCCCTCAAAGGGGACAAGGAGTGGGGGGCAGCTTGAGGAAGGCAAATGTGGTTCACAGATGTTCCCAGAACCCCCGAGACAGCTGTGCAGGTCCCTTCAAATGTGGACTTCCACCCAGCTTCACCGAGTCCTTGTCTTCCCGTGAAGATCGGCCTTTCCCAGGTGTCCTGGCTGCAAGTGGCACTTCACAGGATCCCTGCTGAGACACGTGCTATAGTGTTCATGTCCCCAAACCATGTCCCCAAACCTGGGAGAGCCCT